GCACCTACACAAACAGTGGCTGGAATCCTTAGCATATAAGTCACACTAGAGTAGGTCCATTGAATCAGTGAAGATTTGGTGAATTAACTCCTCCTTAAATTCCAACGATTCAAATGGACCTAATGTACAGTAGTTGCAATATACTAGGCTAAAGTAAGTTGCAGTTAAAGTAGGACAACTTGATTGAATGAGACTTAAAGAGGTGTTGGCTCATCATATCCCCATTGAATCGGTGGGCCTACTCTAGAAGTAAGTTCCTATGCTAAGCAATGAGATTTCAGATGTTGTCCCTAAATGATGTAAATTTTGCCATAAATATAGCGCCTGCATGCCTTTCTTCTGAAAACCCAGAAGAAGGAAAGGACAGGATATCTGGAAAGCTCTGTAGTTACCTTTGCTGGAATTCATGTGATGGATGTCATGGGTGAATGGATTAGAGGTGAAAAAAACCCCTCAATGAACTTGTATTCTTTCCCAGCTATACAATAGGGATAAAAATCTTTGCAAGATAAGACAAAAATTAACCTGCAAGAGAGTGACAAATTTCATTATAGTCTTGACATGGGAAGGGAACTAAAACAAGAGGAATGTTTTTGTGTTCAGAATTAAGAACCATTGTCCAAAATAACGGTTTAACAAAAATGTATCTGGAAGTTGAGTCATGGCAACTGGACTTCTTTCTCATTAGGTTGAAATGTTTCGCTACTCATCCAAGTAGCTTCTTCAGCTCCTTGGATGAGTAGCAAAACGTTTCAACCTAATACGAAAGAAGTCCAGTTGCCATGACTCAACTTCCAGATAACCTCACCTGGATGAGTGAGAATCTTCAGATATATTTAACACAAATGCTTTAACACAAATAGCACAGTATGTTCAAAATGACAGTGCTTGTTGCATAAACTATTTTAAGTACTAAAAGCACTGGAGAGGGCATTTTGTGTCTGTTTTAACAATCAGATTTGCTCAGAAAAACAAGCAAAAGGACATAAGGAGCAAAACAAAAAAAGAGTCCTTCATGAGGAAAAAAAAGAATCTTATAAGAGTCGAAAATTCCTCCTTTATGTTTCTTATCAGGTCAAGAAAGGCTTGAAGCTACATCCCTAAACAGTATGTGTGTGCAGAGATGTGCTTTGTTTTCTGTTCACCCAGTCTTCTGCGAGGAACATAGGTAGCTAGAAGAGGTGGGTTGCTGATGGAGAGAGTGCTGCTTTCTGATTATCACATAGGGTCAGTGAGGTGAGGGCAGTATAACAGAGATGGTCTTTCTCAGCTGTAGATTGAGTAACAGCATCAATAATGACACTCAACTCTGTACAGGACTTTAAAACAGTGCTTCTACCTGAGGAAACCAATGTTCCTTGGCTCACGTATCAAGAGCCTGAAAAAGAAGAAAACTTTTTTTTTTTCAGCTCAGAGAAACCAATCTCATTCACAGAAGACCACGATGAAGAACTTTTTTTTTTCAGCTCAGAGAAACCAATCCTGCTGACTAGCTAATGGGCAATTTTGAGGCTATGCTTAAGGATGTCACATGAGCCTCTTCAATGCCTGACAATATCAGCAGGCCTAGATATCCTTGAATGCTATCAAATTGAGGAAGCTGAGGTGCTATCTGTCATATTGTGCGAAGTTTGCTTTGTTAACCAGCACCATTCCGGAGAAAGCATCAGCAGATCTATGAGACATCAGCCATCAGGCAGGGATGTGGTGTGGTTATTTATCACATCTCCCCAAAACACAAGTGTTAGATATTTGAGAGAACTGCTGTAGTGAGCATATGAAATCTGACAGGCTTTTTTTTCTCCTCACAAAGTGATTTTTTTTGTAAAGGACTTCTAAGCACTCCATTCCTGAACTTTAGAAATATATAAAGGCACATAGTGCTTTCATTTTATTGTCCTAATAATAATCCTTTAGTAATCCAAGTATCTCACTTGGTTCCATTTCTTTAAAAAAACAACACACACACACAAGCTCAGTGGATGATTTTAAATGTATACAGTGCCACTTGGGACTTTAGAAAATATGCAGAGAGTTCAATACCGGAGTGAGACAGTTTTATCCGTCAAGTGTGAACGACAGTGATGAGTAAAGTGCTTGGAAAGTGTAGACCCACTGGTGTCTAACAAATGCCAAGGGAAAACTTTCTTTACTCTGCAGAATCCTCAGGAGACATCTTGAAATTTTAACATGCATGCAAACTTGTCATTTCTGCACTTCACTGACAAGAAGAGTGTGAAAAACTGAGATGTTTATGTGCAATTGAGCATGAGGGGTGGGGGGAATGGTTTAAAAAATACAAAATGAAGGAAAGGAAACAATACGTATATATTTTTTAAAAATAGAAAAAGGCTGTGTGGTCCCCAAAACAATATAAATGCAAAAGCAAGTAATATCTATATAAAAACAAGAGGTAACTAAGCAGGCAATCCACAGAGAACTTTACTGAGGCAAACAGTGGCTTCCCAATAATTCAAAGTTTCTGTGGTAGGGTTGTTTTGGTCATTTGTTTGTTTGTATGTATGTATTTTTGTTCTACAAATACCTTAACTTCAAATGTACGATACAGCTTTGTGGTTTCAATGTTTGGACCTCCAGATGTTTTTGCCAACTTCCAGAATTTCTTACCAATGGCTAGGCTGGCACAGCTTCTGGGAACTGAAATCCAAAGCATTTGGAGGACCAAAGATTGAGAACCACACCTGTTATAGAGTGCTGGACTAGAACTGAATAGATCCTAGTTTGAGACCCCTCTGAGCCATTAAACTGGGTTGAATTTGGGTTAATTATTTCCTATCAGGCTATCTAACAGGATTGTTGTAAAGATAAAAATACTTGGGCATACTCCCTTGACCTTCTTTGAATGTGAGTGTGTGTGCTTTTTAAAGATTAGGGTTTCCCAGGTGAGGAATATTTGGGAACGGTTTGCCATTCCCTTCTCCTGGGGGTGCCCTGGGACTGCCCAGCTTGCTCAAGGCCAAAAGGGTGGTTCTAGTTACGTACAGGAGGCACAGTGGGGAAATCAGACTCCCAATCTTTGTCTCTGCAGCCAGATACCTAACTCAGCCCTTATATGACTGAGAGTAGACATTTTCATTCTCACGCCTCTCCTCCTTTCTTCATCCCTGCCAGATCTTCTCTGTGGTTTGGGGCCAGGAGTTGGATGACTTTTCAGCTCTTTCTTTTTTTTTGGTCCCAGCTGTAGGAAAGATGAATGATTGTGTTCAAAGCGTTAACATTTTGAAATGTTCCATCCCTGCAGCCTCTTCCCTCTCTCTCCAAATTCTACTGATTGCTTAGCAACCGACTGCCTGATTTCTGCTGCTCAGCCGCAGGGTAGGCAGAGCCAGCTTCATATTTGCCACAAAATATGGGAAGTGCCATCATGGAAATTAGCTAACAATTGCTCTCAGAAATCCTAAATGGTTGAAATCTGAAAGTACAGAGCGTGAAACAGGAAAAGGCCATTTCCTGATGATGTTTCATTTCTAGCATTCTTTGGAGTTTCAATCAGCTCCCCAGCAAGCCCCTGAAGCACAAGAAATAAAAATGTTGAGTGCCTGCTATCAAGTACATTTTCCTAAATTTAAATTCTAGGTTGCATGTGACTGTTCGGTGTGCACACACTTCAACTACATCAATTTTAATGCCGATCAATACAGGAAAGCTTTCAAAATGTGATTAGTCCCTATCTCATCTTGTATTTTACAAGAAGGAGATTCTTCAGCAATGATCACAAAAAGAAATCAGGCGGTACGAACCAAAGTCCATATTACGGTGTACGTTTTGACCATCACCCTAACAAATAAGCATGAATCACTGTGAAGTCCTCATTTCTACTGTGCCCTTTCTTAGACTGGCCACCACTACTGGAACAGGAACATTCATAAAACTCAGAAGGCGGTTACATTGCTTTTTTTTTTAAAGCCTTCCTATTTAATTCAGGTTTAGTCTGTTTTGAATTGCTGTAAAAATGGGTGAATACACATTACAGGTAAGACTGGATGGGGATTTGTGCTTTTTGTATTGGCAGCGAGTTTTATTTCTCTGTCCAAGGTCTGTTTATTTTAACACTGGTGTGAAATTGACTCATTTCAATTGATTGCCCCTATGTGAACACCTCTCTCCACATTAATCAGCCACTTGTCCCTGCTGTGGTTATGTTAAAAGTGGGGCGGGTGGGCGAAAAGTCTGGCTATCAAGCAACCACTTCCTTGCCTAAATTTTCTTCCAGTATTGGGGTGTGGGTATGGGGGAAAGGATACGGCGAGATCAATCCAAGGAGGTGTGTTTTCACGGAGATGGTACACAAACCCCAAAACTGGCAGCTGAAAGGCAGGCTGGCTGGCAGGCAAAACGCTGCCTCTCTCTTCCCCCCTCAAAGCTAGCCAGTTTCAGCCCCGGCAGGCTGGCTGGCAGGCAAAACGCTGCCACCACCGTGCGTCTTTCTTCTCCCCTCCAGCCAGCCAGTTTCAGCCCTTGTCTCCTCTGCCCCAGCTCTGTGTGCGCATGCGTTTTGTTTGCACATTTGCAGTGTGTGTTGGCTACCTGTTGCTGCCAGGCTCTCCTGTGCTCATCAGCCCTCACACGGCATTGCTGTGGGCGTGAAGACTTTTCTGGCACTGGCTTGCTCAGCTGCTGCTTATTGCACTGCTCTCCACCAGGTGCACACACCTAGGGTATGCACCCATACACGCTCGCCTGGTTGCCCCTCTGAATTCCCACTTTGGGTTCAAGAGAGAGTGCACCCATCTGGCAAGGGTGCACTCTCTTCAAACACACCAAATTAAACTTTGTTTCCAAGGAACACAAACTGCGATTCAAACAGCACGTGACGCCACGTTGCTCTGAGTCTATTTGAATTTACACTGACGCATATTCTGACCTATAGCTTTAATGTAAATGAGCCCTGATGGTGAAGAAAAGAAGGTAATGGACGTCCAGGGTCTGTGAATGGTACATTAATCGGATGCTGTGCATATTGTTTTGTCTCCCTTTAGTCATTTCTGAAGGAGCAGAACAAGGAAAAGAAAAGCAGATTCCAGAGCCAGGGGAACCCGAAGGCCCATGTGACACAGAAAACATTTCGAGTAATGATGGTAAGCTTCCAAAGAGGTTTTGCCATAGTAGCTTAAAATGACACATTCAGAATAATGGAAATTATACCACATTACACCATTTGATGCAAAGGTAGAATGTAGTATTATTAACTCGATCAGAAGCAGTTTACAGTAAACCTAGTTTGTGCAAAATTGGGTTCATCCAGATGGGGAATTTGTTCCAAGGAACGTACCTGACTGGTTTTTGAGGTTCCTATCCCCACACTCCATCATCCAGATGACATCACCGTTTACATCAGTATGAACAGGAATGAGTTTCTTGGCTGATTTCCTGGATCTTCTTGTCCCTCCTCAACCCCTTAGGGACTTTTCTTTTTGTGTGTTCCATTTTGGCATGCTTCCCCTTTTCAGTCCAGTCCACTCACCTTGTGTTTAAAGAAACAGTTCTTTGAGGTTGGTATGCTAAGAGCAAGAAGGTGAGTTTGTGCTTTGGCACATCCCCAGATTATAAGAAAAGGTAAAATAGGAGCTGGCAGGGGCAGCTAGGGAAGAAATGCTAAAAGGTTGTAGCAGACAGACAGACAGACAGACAGACAGACAGACAGACAGACAGACAAGTATGCCCAATGTGAGTGTTTGCAGCAGGAGGGAAGGAACCAGACAGGAAAAAGAAGTGGTGGAAAGTTTCGATGCTAACCACACTTAACTTAGGAGGTGCCATAGGTGGTGGTAACCATGGAAGGAAAGGTGTTATAAGGTGGCAGGGCAGAGCAAAGGGATCGGGAAGATTGTGGATGCATCGGGATTAGAGATGGGCACAAACTGATGGTTCAGCCGTTCTTGTCAGTTCATTTATTGGTTGTACAAGTGTTTGGGGTTTCCTAGCTCTGCCTCCCTTGGCAGGTGCCCACTCAGAGGCAGGCCCCAGCTTCCCTGCCCCATTTCCTCCAGCCACTGCCTCCGAGTGGGATGCCTGTTAGAGGAGGTGGGGCTACGAAGTGCTGAACACCTATTTGGCCCATGAATGGACTGGCATGAACCACTGAACTAGCAGTTTGTGCTCATCTCTAATCAGTATGCAAACCTCTAAAAATTCTGGTGTAAAGGAAGTGGAAAATGTCATCTAGTGTCAGACCAAAAGTCCCATCAAATGTGTCTCATGTGCATTCAGGTTGATTCCAGTGGGAACTCTAGTAGGGTTTGTGAGGTATGTGAGAGATTTAAGGGGTGGTTTTTACCAGTGCTACCCCCTCTGTGAGTTTGTATGGCTGAGTGGGAGGGGGACTGGAACCCAGGTCTTCTGTCCTAGTCCGACAGGCTGTCCTCTACACTGTACTAGCCTCTTCAGGTGCAGCCCTCTAGTTTTTGGCTACAAGGAATGCTGTGTCACTCTGGCAGGACTTATGGATGAGCAATTGGGCACAGGATTATAAATGTCATGCTCATGCTAAGAATACTACCTGCATAAAAAGCTTAGCCGTAGGGAAAAATACACAAATGCATAAAAGCATTTTTCATGCTTTTGTTCTCTGCTCCTTTCTTGCCCCACAATCTCCTGGTGTGCTTTGAAAGTAAATCAACTAGTACTTAAGGATAACAAGTAAAAATTAGCTCCATTTGAATTTAGAGAATGTCATCATTTCCCTCTAACTGTATATTTCAGAGGTAAACACACATATATTTCTTTTAGCTCCTTTAAATACTGTACCTCCAGGCTGTTTATTTAGTTCACATGCTATACTATAAAAAGGTGTGCATAAAAACATTTGTAAACAGAGATAGATTGTGTTGTTTCTGTATGTCAAGAGGCAGTTTCCAAGCTTCTGAACTGTATGTTTGAATGAGATGGATACAACAGTCTCTTCTTGTCCAATATCAGCTGAATTATATCTCTTCATGTGTCCAAACACTTATTTTCACAGGTATTTTCATAGTTTGAGCAGGTTAACTCTGTCATTGTACTTGGACTCCATCTTTCTTTTCTGTTTGACCCACCAGGGGAGGGAGGCTTATATATAAAAACATTTTTGTGTAATCTGAAAAATTGGAGCTTGGTTCATGATGAAAGGGCCCTGCATTATTTTGTCTAGTATTTCAAAGTCTTAGAGTGCACATTTTATATATGCTGTATACAAACATCTGTTATACAGAATACAGCAAAAATGTCCACGGTCCTGAAATTTATGCATATATTCATTGATATATATCAAATACACTTTTGACAAGCAAGCTGCTAAGGGTCAACATCCTGTTAGTTACACCTGATGGCATAATGCAATCGATCTAAATCCCAGTGGCAAGTTCTTGCAAGTTAAGAAGTCAGTGGCCGCGGTCCTAGTGTGGGAGGTCATTGTTGTGACTCACAGCAGCTTTTTTTTGGAAATTAATGAGTTCTTGCATGTTTCAGTGCATGCCAACGCACCAAACTGGCAGATGCTTGAGAGCATGGGTGCAGAGACCTATTGTTGACCCAGTTTGTGGCCTAATAGAGTGGCACAAGAGAGAGGTGGAGGCCATAATCTTGGGATAGTTGTGTGGCTCCGAAGTGCCCTGGCACAACAAGAAGGCTTCTGTCTAATTGAGGGCTGCTGACAGGCTCCTGAGCCAATTGGGAGCAGCAGTGGACTTGAAGGTGGAAACCCAGACCAGACTTTCTCTCTCCTTCTGGAACATTCAGTTATTCTTTGCCTTTTTGGGATTTAGAGATCCCCTTCTCATCTCAGGACTTACTGACTCTTTCAGCTTGCCTTTCCAGGCTTGAACGCTGAGAAGAGTCCTGTACTATAAAAAAACTGCATAGAATGCCCAGTTATTTCCTCTCTCTGGTTCTGCCTCTATCTCCTCATTTACATCAAGCCCATAAGAGTTCCCCTCAGAGGTGTAGTGGTGAATTTCGGAGGTTCAGGTACACATTGTGACTGTTCTCATAGCTACCTAGCGTAATCAGTAGTTCAAAGACGCAGGCAACTGCAGTGGTACAAAATTGGCAATTTCGGAACATGACCATTGTAAAATTAATGACTCTGTTAATTGTTCATTCAGAATCAAATTGTGTTCAAATACTTTGCATTACAACAGCAATCCCTGGAAATTCTATTTCTCTCCCAGCTAGTACGAAAACGGCATTTGAGCTCAAAAGGCCCAGGAAGGCCTCAGTGGGGTGGCGGATGATATCACAGTCCCTGCTACTCAGAAAGTCCTTGTACTTCGAGACAGGGTGGATCTACTGTGGGGAAAAAATGAAGCTTAAGCTTCCCTAATTCTGGAGCAGCCCCCGAAGCAACTTTAGTCCACATGACATTTCAAGCTTCAGGGCCCCCAAAATGTTGGTCTGCCACTGACTGTAAGCTGTGCCTGAGTTGACTATACCACTGTCTCTTTATCCCTGTGACTATGCCTTCCCTATTGCCAGCCAGCCCCCTTCTTTCATGCACTCTTTGGCCAAAATCCTGTTATGTAACTTTGTGCCCAGTGTAACGTGTTTACATTAATTACAAGTTTCCTAAGATTCCTAATTATAAGCCTTTGGGAACCTGGGAGAGAGCCTTTAAAGGTCTAAAATTGCAGGCAGATTGGAATCAGCAATCCCAGGTCTGGTGGTGGTGATTAGCTGGCTAGTTTTTATTTTTAAATGTCTTCCCCCATCCCAAGGCTCACAAAGGCTTCCCCAGGACAAAAGGGAGCTCAAGGGAGCCTGGGAAGCTAAAACAGGTGAATAGGAAGCTTTTAATTAGCATAAATTAAATGTTTCTAGCTCCTGATCCAGATTACAACTGGTGCAAAGCTATGCAACAGGACTTTGCCCTTTGTTTCTTTTGTCTTTTGTTTCCTGTATTTTTAATTTTTTTAAAAAAATTCTGTGCCACTTCTGCTTTGTTCTCCAGTCACTCTGTTTTAATTGGCTGGGATATTTTGCCCTAAGTGTTTCTAATGAAACAAAGGACAGCTACCTTCTTACCTACCAAAGTCTTCCTGGCTATCTGAAACTTCTGAAAGGAGTACTTAAGGGGATCAATAGCTGCTGCTTAACACACAAACACACAAACTCACTTTTAAAGTACCTCTTCCTTTTAGCCTTCCATGTTGCTCATCACAGTGTCTGTTTGCTGGGTTTTGGTATTGCCTATGGTCTCCCATGTATCATTTCCTTCCTTTCAAATCAAGGGGGTAATGTCAGTGTATATTTTTTTGGGGGGGGGGGTAAAAGGTAAAAAAGTTCCCTGATCCCTGGTCTATGGTCTCCTAATGAAGCCAAAATCTGTCCTGATACCTTAACAAAATGTACTCCTCATTTAGGAGCATAGGTGTTGTGTACCAGGTTAAACTAAACTAAAGATGGACAATCTTCAGAGGTCTGGTAGTGCATATGTCTGTTCTAGAACCTTGGAGAGCCAAACCTGGAACCATTACCCCTTATAAAATGGGCTGGATTTTTTTGAAAAGAGAAAATGCCCCCTTGTGCCATCTAGTGGCCAATAAAATATTATTTTAAATATTATTTTCTTCTAAATTTAAAAAATTGGAGGTAGGGGCCTCAGGAATACTCAGGGAGACCCTCAGTCCCCAACAGCATTGTTCCTTAGAACCTCTAGAGCACACAAGGAGGTTTATTTGCCTTTTAAAAGCTATTTGGGGGCATGCTGGTGGATGCATACAATCCACATTCCCCATGTTGCCTCCTCTGGACTGAGCAGTTCTAGTACTGAAGTCAATACTAGTCAATGAGGCCCCAACTTACTAATTCTTTAAAACTAGTAATTAAAAACTTGGGAAACCAAATAAGGAGACTGTCCCAAAATACTGCCTTTCTAGTTTTCACATTGAGGCCAATTCAAATATCATTCACATCTCTTTAGACAATGGCCTTGGATATACATGAGTCAGCAGGCAGGCTTATTTGTGTTTCTAAGCATAGCCATGAGAGTAATTTTAATCACTGTTTTGATTCCTTTCATAAATCTGGATAAATTTTTGGTAGGAGGAACATCTGGCCTTTTCATACTTTGTGGGTGAATTTATATAATGGCCAGAATCCTGCTGATTAGTTATTCTACTGTTAGTTAAATGGTGTAAACTGCAGCAGTTAATTTCTCCTGGTTAACAAGTTGCTACTGGTATCTCTCATTGTACTCCAGCTCATATGACTGGCATGTGATAAGAGATACAGTAGGAACTCCCTAACTGTGGGACCAGTATCCACAGATTCACTTATCCACTGCCTGAAAATGTTAAATTAAATAACCCAGAAACGTGTATTTATACATATTTCCTTTGTGTGTTTTCCAAAACTGGCCGCTAGATGTAGCTTGAGACCATGCTATGTATAACATTCAGTATTTCTGCATTTTTCAGCATCTGCAGGAGGTGGGCTTGGAACCTATCTCCTGTAGATACCGCATTCCTACTCTATAAGCAAGGACTTGTTAATTAGCAGCAATTCAGTGCTGCAAATTATACTGGCAATAACCCATAGGATTCTGGCCAATTTATTTTTCTCCAAATCTGCAGTGTGTATCTTCATGTAACACCTGAGTGTGAAACATAAACATGGGTATGTGGGTTAGCATTACATCCACAGGCAATCTGACATGGAAGAATCTTTTCAGGTATGTGGGTATTAACCACAGAGTCAGTTAGGCAGAGACATGGTTCCCAGCCTATACCTAGCATGTTTTAATTCTTCCATTCGGGTATAGGTTTAATTCAGGCAATCTCGAAAGTGTCACTCCAGGGAATTGCCCCATTCCAGCTATGTACGTAGGAACTTGGCTTCTTTCAGAGTGTTAGTACAGAACTTCTATAAAGGACTTGTATAAAGAGTTCACAGAAGCTTGTGAAAGGTCTCATTAAATGTGACTGAAACAAATCGTGAAGAAAGGCAGTAAAATTGTAGTAAGTATTCCTAAAATCTCAGATACCTTATGTTCGTTTGTCTATTTTATAGTCATCTGGAAGACTCAGCCTTTCCTCTGAAGTTTCCCTGTGTAGTGACAAAAAACTGCATGTCAATATCTCCATTTGTTGCTTTCATAAAATCTTAACGAGATGTATTATGGAAAGTGGGAGGGAACACTGTTTTAAAGTGTGCTGGCCAGAATCCCATTGGCATTTTTATTTGCAGAAAGTATAAGGCATAAGTATAATTGGGGAAAAAATTGAGTATTTGTTACATCCTTATCTGTAGAACCCCTTCTTGTTGGAAAAAAAGGTCATTGGTGACAATCCTATTACTACCATAAATCAAACAATGTAAATATCACCAGGGGGAATTGCTATGGGTTAAGAAGTCGACATTTGTTTTCCTTCTTGCATGTGACTGATGTGCGATGAGTGATACAAGCATCACATTATTAACTAGCAGCAATTTGCTGTTGCAATTTGTACTGCTATTAGCTTACTTTATGTAATAAGATTCTGGCTATTGATTGGAGTACCTGACAGCTTTGGTATGAAATCTTATTTCATAAAGCCATCTCATTTGACCTCCCTAACGCACATTGGAATGGTTGGTTTGCTTGCTGTCAACCAGGGAGACGGGCAACATCAGTTGGGCCATTTGTATCCATAGCCATACTCAGATATATGCACAGCCATGTCTTGGACCTCCCTGCATATACTTTTGCATCCTAGAGGATCATATGTGTATAGAACTCATGGTCAATAACAGGGGTTCCAAGTCTTGGGTCCCTAAATATTCTTGGACTAGAACTCCCAGAAATCCTGGCCAGCACGGTTAGTGGTGAAGACTTCTGAGAGTTTTAGTCCAAGAGCATCTGGGGACCCAAGTTTAGGAACCACTGGTCTACATTGTAGGGAATTCAAATGCAAGCCTATTACATATTTATACCTATTACATATTTATACCTATTTACATATTTAATAAATATTACATATTTATACCTATTACATATTACATATACCTATTACATATTTATTCTCAAATAAACCTGACTGGATTCAATGGAGTTTACCAGAGTTTCTAAACATCACTGAAATAGCTAATAGATTAGTGTTATTTTTAATAGGAAAAAAATGTAGTTTTAGGGTTGCTAGTTCATAACATGTTACTTTTTAATTAAGTTTTTAAAAAACTACTACCCTTTTGTAAAATAATACAAAAATAACTCCGAATTCCCTCTGATGGCCCACACAAAGTAATGTTTTGAGTAAGGAGGAAGCATTCCTCATTAGGAAACATGCGGTGTTCTTATATTGTGTTTTAATACAGTCATTAAAGCACTGAAAAGCAATGGCATTGACTTGTCTAATGGCTGAAATCCTGGTTTACAACTCCGTGCATGTAACACAAAGTTACACAAGCGGTAGGGAAAATCAGACCTGAGGAGCAGTGGCATTCATGAAGGCTTTCTGCAGGGGTGCTGCACAAGAGCTGTGCCATGAATCAGTTGTGCAATCAATTTGTATGTTGTGGACTACCTAGATGTTAACATCCTGCACGGTAAACAGCAGTGATGTTGTTTATAATTTCCCTTCCAAGCTCTAGGATTCACTCCCTCTTAAGGGTGTACAGGAGTTCAGCCTCAGTAAGTAGTGAAAAAGGAGCAGGCAGAACAAAACCAATCGCATATGGAAAACATCCATGTTCCCTGGGCAAATGCTGTGCTGCACTTGACTGTTATACTTAGCAGTATTGTGTAACTTGTCCAAGTCTTGCTGAGATGCAGTAATTGGATTCTCGAAGTCATGTGAAACTGGGAAGGAAAACAGTGCAACATCTAAATATCCCTGATGTAGACAGGACATCAAAGTACTTCTGTAATGATGGCAAAAGTGGTGTTTCAAATCAGGGCTGAAGAATCCTGATTCACAGCCATGGTGCCATTGAAATAAGGTGAAAGTGGGCTTCGCAATGTAGGGTTTCTTGTAGGAATCTATTGTAAATACACCTACTTTGAAATATAGTTATGCCATGAATTTTTAAGTTCCATAACTGAACGATATTGCTGTTTTTAGAACAAATACTAAGGTACATAAAAGTGCACAGATGTATAATCCCACTGCTTTATTTTCAGTTGAAATGACTAGTCAGGTTGAAAACGCAGATGAGCCCACAGAATCCCAAACGGAAAATTAAGCTCCAGGTAAGTCTGTTCTCGTTTTCTTTTCTGATACTGTATTTTTGATTGAGAGATGTTTAGTATAGAATATCTGTGCAGGCCTATGGAACCTAGCAATGGATCCACAAAAAACCAAACCAAATATATATAGGAACACACATCTTAACAGCACTCCACCATTGTACAATTCAGGAGGTCAAGAACTGTCTGCAGATGAGATCTTTGAACATTGGTTCACATGTGACATTACATTCTCCATTTGCTTGGTCCCAGCTGTTCTATCCTTGTATTAATGAAAGAACTTCACATTGTTTGTGTTAATTGCAAGTGTGAACCAGGCTGCATAATGTTGCGAGGGTCTCATGTTTTCAGTGGATGGGAAATAATCTGCCATTATTACAAAAATTGTTGCATCCATTTGGTGCCACATTTTTATTTCTTCGTTAAAAACAAATTAATTTCTTCTGCGAACTGGTCTTGAAAACTTTCAACATGCTGCTGCTGCTTTTTTTTCTATTGATGTAGATACATGACTACATATAGTAAGAGAGGGTTTATAGGACATTGGGCAATCAGTAGATAGTGTTATAAATGGGAGAGGGAAGGAAGTTAAAGACTGATATGATTTCAGCTGCCTGTTTATATTGAGCAATGTCACTGTTCTAAGAAAAATACAAATTGCCATATAAATATTCCCTAGTTCATACAGAAAACACATGTATAGAAAATGTCTCTTTTGCCTTCCTATCTGGACAGAAAGCATGCTAATTTGGCAATTAGGGTAGAGGAAGCATCTTCTACATATAAACTAACTGGCCCTGGAAGTTTCCTATCAGACCTTCGGACCTACTTCTACTTGGATCCATGTTTTTTAAAAAATATCAAGGATCAGAAATAAAGTCTGCAAAGGTTTTGGAGTGAAATGAGCGGTGGTTTCTAGCCCTGGAAGAGTTTGCACAAAATACAAGCTCTGATTAGCAGACTTAGCAATGTTTGTTTCTGGACACCTGAAAGTTGTTGCTTGGGGGTGAGTAAGACTTATATCTGGCCCTTCCTGCTTTGCTTTGGCCCTTGGGTCCTCATTCTAGCTCCCCTCCCACTGAATGTGTCTGTCCCCTAAAAGTCATCCCAATTGGAATATAGCCCTTGGGTTCCTCATCTTGGTTGTGGATCAGTGAAATCCCGGCAGTACTCATGTGCACAGTTACAGGCTATGTTACACTTTAGAAGAACGATAAGCAGTTTGTGCTGGGATTCAGTTCAGCTCTCAGATCTGTATTCTCAGAACGAGAGGTCTGTGTCATGGGAATGTTAGGCCCTTGGCACTGCTTTACAGAGCACCAGTTGTGATTAGAGTGCTTTTGAACAGACCTGCTCTATAGAAATGGGACAGCGTGCCATTGCAGAGGTTTAATATATGAGAGACGAAAGAGATTACAAAAATACGGGCATAAACACAAGCAGCTTGATTCCCTGATAGAAATCCATGCCTGGCTGAAAGAAGGCAAATTCCTTTCACACCTTAATTATATAATGCAATTTCTGAGATCCCTGCCAAAGCTCAAAGACACAAATATGTTCCTCTCTTTCTTTTGTAATGCATATTGCAATATACCAACATCGCATATTGCCACAATCTGTTATTTACACCCATAATGGGATTTCATGTATCTCAAATATAGTAGCTTTAGAACAGTGGCAGCTTTGTCACTGTGATTTCAAAAAGTCTTATTGTTGTGCATACCTTTTTGTCCTTGTCAGTATATTGACAATATACTGCAGTGGGGAGAGAACTGCTGCTTATTATGGCGTCCGTCGGAAAAGTTGTGAAGCCAAAAGAAGTAGAGAAAGTCTCGATACCATTACAATTAAAATGGAGGATTCAAAATTCTTCTTTTCTGTTTAACAATCTCTGGTGAAATAGAAAAGAGAGGGAGACTTTTCCCTCAGCCCCCCTCTCTCTGTGAGCCTGTCCACCCTACCATATGATTATTATATATGGTTCTTTATGGCACTCTTTGAAATGGGGCGGGGGGGAGACCTGATCGGCTTGTGTTTCTACTTAAAGCAGTCCACCTTCCCCTTTAAGAGCTAACCTGTATCTTTTTGGCACAGGACTGGGGCATACAGTCTGAAAATGAGGTCTCTGTTACCCCAGTGGGTAGCAGGGTATTACCAGAAATGACACTAGGCTGCTTCCAGGTATAATTAATGGAGAGATTTAATCACAGCAGATAAACAGGAAATAAGATTATAAAAGAAATCAAAGGAAAATCAATCAGTTTCCAGCACAATTCAATGCAGTGATGAAATGAAAAGTACTGTATAAACCTGTATTAAGTATCAAATGAAATTACAGTTATGCAAAATCAGCCAAAGTTATCCCTTTGTAAAACATTATATTTGCCCCAAGCCTTTTACTAGTCCTTCTCCCAAGGGAGGTGTAGTATTTCCCTGAAGGATTAGTCTACCCCATTGTAGAAACTGAAGCTTCTCTCAAAATCAAGGCAAGCTAAGGCCTAAAGGCCCCAGAGCAGTCACCATCTGCAAAAGTAAAAATGACATGATGAAAAGTGAACTGAGAAGCATCTGAATGTGAGCATGGATGTGAGTGTGAAAGAATGGGATTCTTGGTCTGGGTCCCAAGCAACAATTGCTTCTTGCTCCACTGATGCCCCTAATTCTCTTGCATTCTGGCTGGCTTCTTTACCTTCACCCCTAAAATTCAGTTCTGTGTTAGTAGATGGCAAACTGGGAGAAAAAAAGCATTGCACTACTTTCTATATTCCCAGAATATGAATCACCCCTTTGTCTTGTGGCACATGATGTGACTGTAGCATCTTATCAAGGTACGTTTTGGGCCTGGAGCCACCAAAAATATTCAGTCTTCTAGCCTGTCCATATTGTCCCATTGTCTTTCAGCTCAGCCAGAGCTTTGGTGCCACAACAATCATGTATCAGTCTTTTTTGCTCATTCCATTATGCAAAAGTCCAGGCTGGAATGAATTCTCAGCCCTTTTTGACAGCAGAAAACATTGCTGTGCATGAAGCGAACCAAAGATTTCTTCAGTGCCATTCCATAGGCAGACCATTCCACAGGTCAGTAGTCCAGTCCATGGGCCATATCGTATCTGCAGGTCAATTCAGTCCATACGTCCACAAGCCTTCTGTCCAGTGTACGCTTGTAGCATAAATGTAGGACCTGATTAACACAATCTTTGTGGGATTACTCATTGAGATGCAAAACAGCTCTTTATTCAAATTGCACTGAAGATAAGGATTAAGGGCCTTTTAAGCACCAGCCAGATCATATCAGATTTCACAGTGCGGACAGGCCCTCTGGCCCTCTCACACATATGCACACACACATATATACTATTTATGTATTTATAAACTAGAAGTAAAGTTGTAACATTCAGAAATAGATTCAACAACTGTGACCTCCACCGAGTAGAAAAATATAACCAATCTTTGTAAATAGTTTCTGTATAAATGGGGAAAACTCCCTTTCTCATACTGAATGAATTATTCTGTTCCAGAGAAAGATAGGGTAAGAGGCATAAGACGAAATTAACACACAATGGGTGTAAAAGAGAAGAAGGGAGGGGGGAAGGAAAGGAAAAGAAAGAAAGAAAGAAAAATGGTAATGACCAATGTTGTTTTTGCAGCTGTTATTCTCAAAGAAAGTCTAAATTTCTGACCTTCCAGAGAGGAGAACAATGATGTAAAATTTGCCCTACTCCTGTCCTGTCCTTTAATATTTCAAGTATTATTCATTACTAGATTTGTGTCCCATACATTTCACTGGACCTGACCTCAGATAGTGGAAACTGTAACCATGACTGTAGACGTCGCTGTTTCAGTAATGTGTTCATGCTGAAAATTCCAGCTCGTTCTAGGACTGCTCTGTTTGGAACTTTGTCCTGCCAGGTGATGCCAAAAATCCGTCGGAGGCAACGCATATGGAAGGTGTTCAGCTTCCTCTCCTGCCATGCACAAAGAGTCCATGACTCACTGCAGTACAGGAGTGTGCTTAGAAACTGTAACCATGACTGATTCCCACAGCTACACTGAAATTAAAATTAGTTTATAGCACAATTCTGTGCAGCCTTACTCTGAGATAAGTGGGACTTACTTCCAAGTTAAGTTTGTCTAGCACTTAAAGCCTAAACCTATGTTATCAGTGGTGATAAAGGTGCTTTGTGCATATACACAATTGGAATTTTTATAAACATTTATTGAAGACAAAGAAAATGGCCAGGAACTCTGTTGGCTTCAATCTAATTACCTTTCAATCTCAGCAGTGAATTGCCATTAGATAAAAGTTGACACTTGATATTTAACATGGCACAGTCCTGTTACTTAGCATGCAACTAGAAGTACAAGCTTTGATTTCTTCTTGTTGTTTAGTCGTTAAGTCGTGTCCAACTCTTCGTGACCCCATGGACCAGAGCACGCCAGGCCCTCCTGTCTTCCACTGCCTCCCGGAGTTGTGTCAAATTCATGTTGGTTGCTTCGATGACAGTGTCCAACCATCTCATCCTCTGTTGTCCCCTTTTCCTCTTGCCTTCACTCTTTCCCAACATCAGGGTCTTTTCCAGGGAGTCTTCTCTTCTCATGAGATAGCCAAAGTATTGGAGCCTCAGCTTGATTTCTTAACTGGTGGCAATTTGCCGTTGAGATTTACATGTTTGGATTTATACTGACCTAAGTTAAGCAATAGGATTCTGACCAGCAATCTTTAAAGAGTGAATAGCTGTTGTATCAAATTGTGTTGACACTTGTGACAGAAGGCATCCATGAGTTGAAGTAGAGGAGTTTTCAGGTGTTCTTAATGAGAGATGGCGGGCGGGGGGGAGTGGCCACAGTTGTGTTCCTCTCTGTTCTGCTGTGGGATGCCTTCCCTCCCTGGAGTGACCACATATTGATAGCCTCTGGAACAGGTTGGGCAGGGACAGAAGGGGCTGCAGATGCTGTAGGGCATGGAAAACTCTCCATTAGGAGAGTGACCACAGCTGGAGACAGCCTGTAAATACACAATATTTAGGTCGAACAAGAATAAAGGGAAATAAAGAATGGATGTGAATAAAATGGATGATAGGATTAAGACAGAGGGACAAGACTATTCATTTCCAAACACGAGACAATATAATTACTGATGTATAATGAAAGATAGAAGAATGGCCAAAAAAAGCATGAAGTTTGGTGAGGGAAGGAGAGAGAAAGAGAGATGAAGGACGTCTGTCATGCATGCATATCTGATTGGGATGCAAAGAAGAACTTAAGGAGATGGGGAAAATGTCAGAACAAAGAATCTCTTTCTTTCCAGACCTTTTACAGAGCTTGATGTTATCACCTTGTCTGATGAAAAAGCTTTTATCTGGACTAAAGAAACTTTAAGCCACCGCTAATTGGACAAGCCATTTTAAAAAATCCTCTTCTCATTAATATTTATATATCATTATGTGATGTTCAAGCGATTCCTCCCACTTTAGCCCTTCTTTTAAAATAATAAGCTAGAAAAAAGAGAAACTTCCATTGCTTGAAACTTTCCAAAGGCTAGAAACTCTTCTCCCCTTTTTGCACAGAGAATTCCACGAAGTTATGATAAAATCCTTCCTTTTGATTTCAGCAGATCCTATTGAAATGGGCTCATAAAGTTTGTGATACATTGCCTGGAAAATACTAGGTAATTGTACTGTGCTGGATAAAACTTTTAGTATAGATAGGGCTTACATTTTAATGTCATTAATTTAACGACTCCCAGGGAAAAGCATGGTTTCTCTCTAGCATCCTCACAATTAACTTCAATTAGTCATCATTAGAGATGGGGATATTGCTATTTGTATACAAATATGAATACTCCCCACACAGGTGGACATAATGAGGGTCCGCCACTGCCGTGACCTCCGCAATCCTTCCAATGGCTTCGGAGATCATGTTCGGCAAGCCAGTCTTCGACCTAACAGAGAGACTTGTCATTCTGCCTCCTGCCAGGAGTGGCGAGCCAATCTCCAGAGCCATTGGAAGGATTGTGGAGGTCACAGCAGTGGTGGAGCAATGGGGCTGGACCTTCGTTATGTCCACCTGTGCGGGGGTATTCGTATACAAATACCCCCCTCTCTATTCATCATAATACTGGTGACTCAAACTATGAATATCAGGAGGAACATGAGTTGTGTCAGCTCACTTGGCTCAATATACTGTGAAACAAGCACAATACAGTAAATGCCCTTAAATATCTTGGACTTAATCACAATCTACCATTCAGTGCTTTGAGTCCCTCTTCCACTGTTACATGTTGTCAGCAGACATTGGACAAGGTGTGTTGTTCCTGTCGGTGTGTTCCTAGTTTGCCCAGAAACTGTCATTCCTGCTTTGATTTGTTCCTTGATGATGGCCCATATAATTTAATATATCCTGCATAATTTACACAAAAAAATTTCTCGCTCCTTTCCTGTAGAGGAAGGTGTGGGAAAGGTGTGTACATTTCAACGATAAGGCCTATGTGTATGCCATGTAAATGAGGTGAGCTTTACAAAAGCCACTATGGCTGGCTGGAAGATAAATTGGGGGTTTGTATATGTATCAAAGGTCAGAGTTTGGAAATGCTACTCTCTTTCTTTGGACAACAGTTCTCACAAAACGTAGCCACTGCCCATCTGGCTAGGGGATCCTGGGAGCTGTGGTCCTAAAAATTAACATTTACAAGCTCTTCCCAAGACCATTTGCAAGAACAACAACAACAACCCAGTGTAAATCCTGAGCATTAAACCAAGTCAACCAATATACAATTTGGAAACAATCACCAAATATTTTATGGATTTTGCATCTTTTCCAAAATACCAGCCCGCATTTGAGCAATGCAGATACCCTGCTTGCTTTAGAAATTCCCCAAGTTAAATAAAAAAAAAGTAAGTGGTTTAATTCTCCACTTTAAATCAGGAAGTCAGTAGAATAGATTGCAGAGGAAGGATGCAACCGCATGGCTTCAAAGGCAAATCCCTGATTGCACCAGAAAGGGTCACTTTGACAGGGGAACAATCTGCTTTAAAGCAATTCTTCCATCTGCTGGAGAATTGCTCCAGCCCAGCCCAAAAAAGAAGCCCTATAACTGGATCAAAAAGATCCAGCTTTAGCAAAGACCGGGGTTTGGCTGGAATGCATTTCCCCATGCATCATGTGATCACTGGAAATAGCGCTGGACCGCTCCATAACTGGTCCAAATTGTGATATATTTCTCCATTTGATCACAACCTAAACTCACTTGAAAAGAACTAAGAATGATTTCTTATCCCTGTTTCCTTCACATATTTGCAAATCTGGAAGTTGTCAAATGGAATTCTGGGAGCAGCCTTCCTAAAATGCATGTAATAATTCATTTTGGGCATTATTTACAACACATTCTTCTTTGTGAACAGTTTCCTTTCTGTCTCTACAGATATCCACGATAAAAGAAGAGAGCGGGATGTGAATCGAGAACTGCAGTCACGGGTGCATTGTGTGACGATATTTTGACTAGCAGACAACAGCTCACCGTGGAGTGCAACATGGGATAGGGAGGGAAGGGGAGGGAAGGGTGACAAAGGAACAATGATTCTTTACATAATTTTATCTTCTCTGATTCATTTTGTTGAGTAACCAACACTCAGCTTCTCTACTCTGGCTATGGTGTCTTGGTTTTGTTTTCTTTGCTTCATCCCTGTATTTTCTGCATCTTTTCAAAAGCTCAGCTCCCCTCTGCCAAAGGAAAAAAAAGAGGGGGGGAAATCCTTCTGCAAAAGAGAGAAGTACCTTGTTTCTAAGGATTTTTGTCAGTTAACACTTCCTCCTGAGGGAAGCATGGCTGCAAAGGGTATTTTAAAGAACAATTCCCCAAATCTTAAGAGTTTGTTCCCACTGGTTGTGAAACTCTTACATCTACAGCTATCTACATTCAGTGATGATGGTAGCACATATTTGTACCCTTTGTCCCACTAGTATGATCAGCCCGCCAATACTAGGGCCTAGTAGTTTCAGCTTGTTAAGACTTTTCCTGCTGCCTATAGAACACTATGAGAAGTAGACATGCATATATTATTGTGAATTAAATCTTAGGGTCAGACTGTGTAGCCTGAATAAATAAGTCAATCCCCTGCAGCTCTAATACCACACACTGGTTCTAATACTAACTGGAAGCTGAACACCACTTCTAGGTGGAGATTCCCTGTATGATCAGGCCAGTCTATCCGGCAAGAAGCTTACATGGATGACAGAGCATTGCCATGCAAAAGTGGCCTCCACATAAGGGGTTAATGACATTTGAAGTAGCCCTCAGACTTAGGTTTTACCTAGGCACGTGTGCACAGCGAGGTTACCAATGGACAAAATCAATATGTATGCCACGGAGAACATATCTGTCCATGGATATGAGTCATGATGTCTAAGAATCATATGTCCATCCACTGTTCATCTCCAAGAGCCGAACAAGAGGAGAAAAGGTCCCTTTGTTCTTATGCTATTTGTCAACATTGCAGGAACTAGAGTTTCTTTAGAGCAGCTGCATTTTTCATAGGACAACCAGTCTCCATAATTCACAACTGGTTAATTAACTTATTTATAGTATGAAACATTTTGTCACCCTTAGTGGTGATGCTGCTGCACATATCAACAAACACTGTATTTTCTAATAATAGCTCAGCAGCCACCCCTTATTAAAGTTCCTGCTATTTTCAGTGCCCTCAAATTTGGGAGGATTGCAGATATTCTGCACCCTAGCACATTATAAAATATGGCTTGTGGCTTTAACAATTTATTGTCAACATTGGTTACATTTTTCAATTGCATATGCACACTTTTTAATACATACAAATGCAATTAACAGTTATTTGGTGATGAATGTTGTACCATATGTTATCTGTTCTGCTAGCAAATGCTGGGCTCAATTTAAAAAACAAGAATTTTACATTCATTTTTCACCCACCCTGTAAATTAAACTGATACCATACTTGCAAAATAGAAAGAACACACAGCATGGGTCCAGGGTTTGATATTCTGTAAACTACTTCCCAACTGCTGCTAAAAACAATTAGAGGAATGGTTTGATATTTTGAGAATTTCATTTTACCTAATTATGCACATGTACCATCCTCCAAAAGTCTTAAAATAATAATTTTTCAGGCTTGCAAAAAATATATACATAAACAAATAAAGGTATATATGTGTGAAAGGAATCTGAACTCTACTAGCCTTGCTCATTTTGTTAGTTTCTTTCAACATAAATCTGGAATAAGGTAGTAAACATAGTTTAAGATTCCACAATTCTATATGGAAATATGAACTAGTTCATGACTAATTCACTGTAGGCAGATACAAGATTGTTTTCAGTGTCGTATAACTATGCTTTTTAATTATCAACATCTTTGTGGGAAAACGAAACAATGTGCCATGAAATTACAACATTTGCACTTCAGCTAGTCATTTCTCTGTCCTTTTGAACCATCCAGTGCATTGGTGCCCAAGAAGCTGGCTTTTGTGTAAGAAATCACAGAGAGATTAATATCAAACCAGGTACCATACGATCAACTCTATTGGTTTCCTTTGCATCCACATGGTCTGTCAGTATGCCACACTTAGGCGGTGTGGATTTACCTGTGGAGCCTCTTTTCTTTTCCATCTCTACTGGCTAAGCTGGAGAGATCTCTTTCTGCTAATATGTCTTTCCCTGTAGCCCTCTTTTGTATTGATTCAATATTTTTTATAAATTCCTCTGACTGTGATCAAAGGAGTGGCAAGCTGTGCATCGCGATTGTTTCCACAATTTAGAAAATTGAGTCAGTATATGGATTGACTTTATACATGAAAAGATTGAGGTGTGGGGAACTATAGAGCGGGGGTGGGCGGGGGGAAGCAACAAGGCTGCGACAGTTAATTGTCTTGGTTCTATGCACACATCACCTTAACAGGGTTTTCTCCTCTCTTTCTGATGTTATTGCTTCAATATGCAAATGTGTGAAAGTATGGAACAAAGCTCAGGATAAGAAGGTGGGAAGGGTTAAGGAGTGAGAAACACAATCCTATGCATGTTTACTTATATGTAAGTTGGCACTTGCCATCAAACGTGCAAAGGATTGCAGCTTCTATCTTGACATTCTAATTCTAGGCTTGATTTACAATTATCTCACTTAGAATTGTGGGATGGCATTTGATGGGTGGTTCATTCTTTGAATTTAGTGATCTGGAGACAGTAATTTCACTCCCATTTGGTTTTCCTAGTGCTGTATGAGCACGTCCTAACACATGCTGAGCAGATGCTGTGGCTTAGACCCATCTCAGGTTCTATATACTGTAATGTTTTTGGATATCAACTCCTCAAATTTTGTAGGCAGCAGGATTTTGTGTTGCCTGGAGAATTCTGAGAAGGTGGTCGAAACAAAAAATTCGCACTTTTTTTGACACTGTTTGGCAAGTGTGCTGTTTGGCATCTGCACATGTGGATTGGGACCAATGTATATGACCAGTAAATTCTTCTAATTCTTCTAAGTAGCCTGGCTTGTTAAAAGAAAGTGACATAGAAAGGTTCCTTTTACAGAATCAGATCTTTAGTCCATCTAGCTAGTGGCGTCTTAAGGTTTGAAGCAGAAAATTTTCCTCAGCCTTTCCCAAGGGCTGAACTTGAGACTTCCTGACCAAAATCCTTTTTTGTAGCTACATAAATGGAGTAACCTTGAATTACCCCAATCACTGCAGACATTCCCAGTTGCACATTGACAGAGTCATACAATGAAGTACAAAACTGATAATATTTGCAATGATTTCTTACCTTGGGGCAGCTTGTCTGCAAGAGTTACACTGTGCTACAGCACCTTAGTTAGGTAAGAGAATTTGGGCATTGATATGCAAAAGCATGAGCCCTATCACTGTCGCCCTTCCCCAGTAAATTTCCACAAGTAATAGGAAAAGTTTGCAACTTCTCTGAAATTAAGTTTGCTTGAAACTTACAGAGACTGAAGGGTTCCGTTCCCCTAGCAGCCCTGGAGTAATGATACCATGAAGCAATGTTAAAAAAACCTCAATTGCTTTCCATTCTTTTTTAATACTATCGTCAAAGTTACGTAATTCTAATTCATGTTTTGTTCTTTTGTGCTCAGATATGTAATATAGCCACCTTTTGGCATCCAGTTCCCTCAAGCATCATTGTGATTAGGTTTCAGAAAAGATCAGAAAAAAGTAAGAACAAGCTGGGTGTGAAAAAATATTCAGAGACCCGAAGAGGTGTTCCGCTAATAGAAGACTGAAAAGTGCTTGAAATAATTAGCTATCAAAATACTAGATTACCGTTTTGTCCTCCAGAATACAATAGTAATTTCATTGCTATCCTTTAACGTTGATCCTCCTCAACAATTAAGCTTCTTTCATGTATTGAAGGTTAATAGGAAGGTGTGAAACAAAAACAGGAATCTAACAATATGAAGGCCAAAAAAAAGAGTGGTTAAATCTCAGGAGTCTTGATTCAAGGCCCAGCTTTATAACTTACAGTTTCCTAGGTTTCATGTTTGGGGGTGAGTGTGGAGAGAGCGAGAGAGAGAGAAAGCAAATATAGGCAATAATACAATTCCCAAGTTATTTTGGCCAGCTCTGTAGAAGCATGGTCAAATGCAACCTGAGTAGATTTTGTTAGACTTTAGAGAAGCACACACTAGAGGCTGTGAATTCTTGCATTAGCACTGGAGGTTGCTGGTATCCAAAAAACATAGTCTTTCCCACTCCACATTCCCACTCCCAGCCATATTCCAAATATGCATGGAAAACAGAGCTGCTCTATTACTTTCATCACCATACACATGTGGGGTTTTTTAATGCAATTGTTCCAAATGTTGTGAATTTTTTTAAAGCATCCTGGTTCTACACCGAGGCAACATTCTATTTTAGCAGTTGTTCTGATAATGGACAAAGTTTCTTTTCCAGACATTACTTTTTGTTAATGTTGGGTCATATCTTATCCACTGCAGCTATTTGTAAATCTCTTCCTGAAGCTCTGAGCAGCCTCTTTTGTGATTTAACACTGTTCTGCTTATGCACTTGATTTGGGGATGGGGTGGGGGACCGAAAAAGGTTTCTCTATATGCAGCACATGTCCATTTTGCTTTTAAAATGACAAAGTTAGCAAAATGTATTGGATATATTTTCTTGGGAAATAGGATTTTTATCATACTTTCCATCAAGGATTTGCCTTACCCTGACATTTGTGATATAAAAGAAAGTCAGAAAAATATGTAATTTTCTTGATCAAAAAATATGTTTTTACTTCAATGCAAATAAATATAGTCTCTTGCTTGCAAAATACCTTCTACCGTATAATAATAGACTGCTAAGTAGAGTCAACACAAGCCCCTTTTGTTAATCTGACATTTAAATGCTGGACTTGCTGATAAATCTGTTCTTTTCCTTTTGTCTGTGCCATATACATAACTAAAAACTCTTTAACAAATGATGCCTTCATACAAATGTTTGTTAAAAGCAACATCAGAATAAAACTTGTTCTGAGGAGACGCGGAGTTGCTTGTATTCCTCTGGAATTGCAATTGTGTGTTGTATGGGCTGTGCACTCTTATTCAGTACCAACAGTTATGTTTTCCAGGAAGAAATGGGGTGGGGGTGTTTTCACATTGTTTGAAGAAGATACAAACCTTGGAGGAACTGCCATTTTTTTTTAAATAGAACAAAGGATTTGGGTATAAACACTCTTGGACAAAATGCTCACCACAGTTGACAATTCTGGCCTGAACTGAAGTCTTTCTTATTTTTTAAACCAGCCTTTCCAGAGCCTTACGTTCCCCTTGGGGGAATATTTAGTCCAGTCATGTCTGATTCTAGTGCATCGTGCTCATCCCCATTTCCAAGCCATAGAGCCAGCGTTTGTCTAAAGACAAGTTTCCATGGTCACGTGGCCAGCGCAACTAGACACGGAACACCGTTACCTTCCCACCAAGGTGGTATCTACTTATCTACTTGCATTTTTACATGCTTTCGAACTGCTAGGTTGGCAAGAGCTGGGACAAGCAACGGGAGCTGACTCTGTCACGTGGATTCAATCTTACGACTGCTGGTCTTCTGACCTCGCAGCACAGAGGCTTCTGCGGTTTAACCCGCAGTGCCACCATGTCCTTTGCTAGAGCCTTAGGTCCTGGCAAACAGTATTCAAATATCCCAGGATTATTTCACAGAACACTGTCCCCTCAGAGAAATTACTGTTTTGGACCACAGTTCCTAGGATTTCCCCACCAGCATGCCTGCCAGCAATCCTGGTTGCAGATTCTAGGAGTTGTGCTCTCCCCCCCCCCTAAAAAGTAGCTGTCCCAAGCTATTGTGTTTTAAGAATTAAAAAAAGAAGATGCAGATGATGTGGCAGGACAGAGGACATGTGATGCTCAGAGAAAAGCTGAAGGAACTTAATGGTGAAGCCAACATTTTAAACGTTCTACTTAGAAATGAAAATTCAGCCAGTGAGACTGGGCTGCATGTGACATCCTGCTCCCATTATCTGCCCTAGGACTTCAAGATTGCTGTTAGTTCTAATGAATACTATCGTGTGGGACTGGCAAGGCCTCTTGAGCTGTATTATACTTTCAGCTCCTTCTCATTCCCCACAGACACTTTGGAAAACCTGTTTTGGACTGGAAGTCTGGGGACTGCAAGAGTTACAACCAAAAAACCCTTAACTTTTCCAAATGTGAGGTTTTCATGATACTGACCCTTTTCCTGACACCAAATGAAGAAGAAAGATGGGCACATGAGTATAAGACTAGCGCATTCCTCCAGAGAGTCACAGTGAACAATTTATCATGATTAAAACTTCAGTGACTACATGAATTAAGTTCCAATCGCTTTTCCCCTCTCATGTGAGAGATATAAAGAGACAGCAATCAAAAGAGGGGAAGGAACCAATGCCCAACATCGTTGGGACTTTCAAAGCAGAAGGTGGAATGTGGGTGGCTCCTTTTGCTGTCTTTGTTTTTGTTCTGTTTTTAAAGAAAAGAACTGGATATTTTTGGCTGTTTTCTCCTATTATTTTTTCCTTCCCATTGATTTCCACAGGAGAGATATAAATTATGTCATCTCTGGGGCTGAATAAATTCTCTCATGCTGGGTTGTGCCTCTGGGGCACAGAGGTGCTTGGCTATTTCAGTCTCCTACTGGAGGTGTACTTCAGAGTAAGGTGGTAAACTGGGACTTCAGCCTTACCACGTACAAAAATTTCTTTGAAGAAATCAATATGCATGCACAGAGGAGCCACAGGGCAGGGAAAGGATAGAGAGAAGAGTGATGGAAATGGAGAGGCGGGGGGGGGGAGAGAGAGAGGAGAGAGAGAGAGAGAGAGAGAGAGAGAGAGAGAGAGATGGAGACTAATCATTAATTGTTTGGGGGAAATATGGTTGATGAAAAAAGTAAAATGCTGAGATTTTCCCTTGCTCGATGTCTCTTTGTGAATGGTGGTGAGTGTGATGATTCTGCCCATTTTGAGCCTCTGTGTATAAATGTATACATGATTAAATATCAGGGTTGTAATTAAACTGTTTTGGTTGCCTGGATTTTGTGTGGGGTCCTGGACAGAGTGCTGTGGTGATTTGCAGTTGAATAGCTGAATGGTGATTAGTTAGCATGATTGGAATGTTGTGGAACTAGGATCTAGTGAACATTTCGTTGAGAGATGACTATCTACAGAAAGTTAGAGCAGAAAGCTGAAGAGAGTTAGGAGTCTGCCTGAGATCGGTATTCTGTGGTAGAGTTTATGAAGAGAGGTGCGTCTACAGTAGTTAGTGTGAATATGTAAGGAAGATTGAGGTTCTGTAATATTTTGAACTTTGAATTCTGAAGAAATATATTTAGATTTTCCCACTGTTTTAACCTTTACTGCTTAAAAGAACCTACCTTTCTCTTCACATTGATTACCTCTAGTGCCTAAAAAAAAATCCTGTTTAATTGTTTAAACCAATTTATCATTATCTGTTTTATATGGAACTAAGAACAGGGAGCCCATACTACTAATGAAGGAAATATAGCCACATCATGTGAAGCTACACTTTACCAATAGGGGCACCGAGTTTTATTTAGATTGATAAATACATTCACAGAACATCTGAGTTACCTGGGATACTAGCTTGGAGCAAAAGAAACTCTGGCTGGTACAGTATAAAAGGAACAACCCCCAAATACTTGAAAATAAGTTTTGGGAAAGAGGTTTCTTGCACTTTAACATCTTGTGACACTAAGGAGTGGTGTCTATTTAGGATTTTAGGCATTAAAAGATGTAAAAAGGCTGGGGAATGGGTGACCCAGCAAGTGTAAAAATTACTGGAAAGGTCAATGGCTCCCCGGGCCGGAACGCCACAGTCAGCGCAAGAGGGGTGTCATCAGCGTGGCTTTTGCTATATGAAATTTGGTATTCTTTTTCCTGTCAGCAAAGTGGGCAAGGTATTGCAAAGCAATGCCATTTCTTGCCATTTTGAATCACGGACACAGAAGGAATATCCCGCATTCATAAATCATGGTGCTGGTAAGGGGACGTGAAGGACAGAATATCATCTCACAGAGGTAGAACAGGAGGAGGCAGCTTGCTGATGGGTTACCACTAGCCTTCCTCCTCTACTTTGCCAGCAACTCAAAAGGAAGATACCAAGCAGGCTAGATTTAGCTTTTTGCCACTTTACCTTTGGGCCTGAAAAATGTCTCATCTAAATTTCTACTATTAATGGATATGAGGCACACAGGGGTTTTTTAAAGATATTTGGCAGACTTAATTGGGAGTGGCTAATGAATTTTTCTATCAGATATAACTTGTCAATTCTTAAAACAAGCATATTACGCAGAGAGACAGAGAGAGAACATAGAAAACAGGAGATCTTAATTTCTCTCTCTTTTTCTTTTTAGAAACATAGCCTGTTTAAATCAGCCTTAAATTACTTGTTGCTGCAGGAATCAATTTTATATTGTATGAATAATTTAGAGGTAATTATTGTTTTATATGAGGAGGAGGAGTAAGGCTGCTGATAAAAGGCTTGGACTGTAAGATTTCTTGACATGCAAAGCCCACATAGATTTCAAGACTTCCTTTGCCCTGAAAACCTTTCTCTGCTCTTGAGTCTAATATAGGCTTACATGCTGCTTTTGTATCAGCATGCCTTTCATTAGTCATACTGGCTCTTGAAACCCAACAGATATGGTATGGTACACTCCAGAGTTGATTGGTTTAAGTTTAGGTCCTTATTCAGCACAAGAGGAATATTAAACTTGGGTAATTAGTCCTTTAAAATGCAGAACAACTACTAAGCATGCTTCCCCCTCTGTGAAGGAATCATTTCTACACTTCTTTCTTAGGGCTCATCTACATGGGCTGTTTTGGAGAAGGCCGGAATGGGGTAAATAGGGTCAGTTGGGATCAAGTAGAGGTGCAATTGGCATCCAAATGCAACTCAAGCTGGGAAATTCAGGTTGAAAATTCTGATATCAGGAAGTGGCCTAAGAAGAGAGCCACTTCAGAATACTGGCAAATTAAACACTTCCTCTGATCCTTGATAGAGGGGGCAGAGGATTTTTTTTAAAAAAATAGCCTCTATAAAGGCAGCACAGAAGTGCTGCATCACTTTAAAAAATTCCTTTGCTCCTCCATTGACAAGAAAAGAAAGTGTTCAGTTTGCCAATATTGCGAAGTGGCTTATATCCTGAAGTGGCTCTCTTCTTAAGCCACTTCACCATATTGGAAATTCTCACTAGGAGGAACCTTGACAGCAGAAGGCTCACTTTGGGTTTATTTCCAGGATCACATAAACTGGAAACAAACCAAAATAGAGTGATCCTACCGGCACCAAAAAAAGTTGAAACCCCTAACAGGTCTCACAAAGGTGTGGGTAGGAATGGTCTGGGGACAATTTGGTTTACTCCAGTGACTACGCTGTGTGATTGCTGGAAAAAGGAATGAACCAACCCATACCTGCAGTATATCAAACGGCAGGCTAAATGCCAGTCTGGTCACACCCTAAGTAAATAAGAAAGCTTATGTTTATTAGAACAGTACAGTGTGAGATAGAAGTCCTAGCTATAGCCAGTTAAGTTGGAGATGCCAGGAGCCATGATTGCCCCTTTCATTTCTAGAGAACAAAGGGATAGGATAAGGAAGGAAGTGACATCAACAACCCTAAGAATAGCAATCTAAGCCCAGGTCAGGGCAGATAATGGACAATCTAGGAAACAAGGTGTCTCTCTCCCAAGCAAAGACATACATCTTCTTGAGTATATCTGAGACTTAACTAGCATATCTTGCCTATTCTCATTGAGGTTTGTCCACCAACCCTACATTTGGAAACTGAAATGAGGTGTGGATTTCATTGATTCCTTGGAGTGCTGCAATAGCAGTAAAGACAAGAGAAGAACTTTGCTATAAGGAAAGTCCTGACCATATCATCACTTATTTAATAGTCCAAGAACTGGTGCCCACCAGGACAGGTGCCTTTTTAAAAGAAAAACCAGACTTCCCATATATACAAATGCCC